GCCTGTGTACAACCCCCCCCCCACCCCTACCCCCAACGCCCCCAACCACTCTTTCAGCCACTTCCATACACTACCGGCTGGGAGGAGCTTTCTTTTTTCTTGATTAGATTCAGGATTACACTCTGAGTACAGGCTGGGTCTCCCGAGGAGGGGGAGCGTGTGAAGACGAGCTAGCAAGGCAGCTCTGAAGGCAGCTCCATCTCAGAGTCGGTTGAGGCCAGGCATCCATTTCATTTGTGGTTTCTGGGGGCTGATTTCTCTTTAGGTTCAGGTTCTTCTCCTTCTTCTGGTTGGTAGCTTCAAGTTTATAGCTCATTAACAAAACTAACAAGCCCTCAGAACAGGGAGTGTATGCAGAGGGACCTCAGGTAGACTGTGCAAGGGAAGGGAAGGAGAAAGGCATGCACATTTGCTGAGCCCCTCTGGCCGACCCGGCCGTTCGTCTGGGACCCACTGCACAGGGAAGGAACCAAGTGTGCTCCACGCGCTGACACATCACATGCTGGAAGAATCTTGCCCGGTAGAACCTTTTACATCCCCCTGGCATAGGTAAAGAAACAATGTCTAGGACAGGTTGAACAATGTGCCCGTGGTCACACAGCTAAGGGATTGAGCTGGCTTTCAATTCAGGTCTGTCTGACTTTCACGTCTGCGTATTACCTGATGCCTTGGGACCAGAAAAGGTGTTTTTATCCCCTGGGGCTTGGAGAATAATCTCAAATCTCTGGTTCATTGTGAAATTTCTTGATGAAATTTAAGAGAGTGGAAATTGAGCATTAGCTCTGAAATGTACATTGGGAGAGTCAGTCCATGGAAACAAATGGAAGAATATATTATAAACCTAGGCCATTGTGTAATGGATGATCAGTCCAGTTTCATCAGTTCAGCTTGGGCTTGACTTTGTGGTTGGGGAACACATGTGCTGAGGGTGGTCTACCAGTTAGGGGACCTGTAGGACTTTCTAGATACCTCAGCATCATTATAGACCAGTGGGTATTGGCTTTGCCATATGCTAAATATTTCGTTCTATTGCTTTCATTGCCAGGACGGGGCTTGCCATTTTGTGTTTGGGCTCTTGTAGTAATATCTGGAATGATCTATAGAATGCATTAACAAATATTTATTGAGTGCCTACCATGTGCCAAGTACTGGGCTACATTCGGAGGTGGGCATTGCATGCTCTAGAACAATGCTGTCCAATAGAATTTTCTTTTTTTTTTTTTTTTCAACGTTTATTTATTTTTGGGACAGAGAGAGACAGAGCATGAACGGGGGAGGGGCAGAGAGAGAGGGAGACACAGAATCGGAAACAGGCTCCAGGCTCTGAGCCATCAACCCAGAGCCTGACGCGGGGCTCGAACTCCCAGACCGCGAGATCGTGACCTGGCTGAAGTCGGACGCTTAACCAACTGCGCCACCCAGGCGCCCCTGTCCAATAGAATTTTCTATGATGATAGAAATGGTCTTATCTGCATTGTCTTATATGGAAGTTACTAGCCTCTTATGATTAATGTGATTGAGGAACTGAATTTTTAATAAATTTTAACTAAGTTCACATAGGCCATGTGTCCAGGGGTTACCATATTGGACTGTACAAATCTAGATTAGTCTTGTGTTGTATTTTGCAAAATTACCAAAATGGAAAACATCACACCTACTGGAAACATATGTTTGTTAACATTTTAGTAAAATTTTATGTTATGTTCTAATACATGATTATGATTAATGCCATGAGTAGATTTTCTTTATTTTCTTTCTTTCTTTCTTTTTAATTTAAATCCAAGTTAGTTAATATATAGTATAATAATGATTTCAGGAATAGACTTTAATGATTCATCACTTACATATAACACCCAGCGCTCATCCCAAGTGCCCTCCTTAATTCCCACCATGAGTAGATTTTCTATGTATTGATTTATTCGAAGACATTTAGGTGGTGTCTTCTATGTATTAGGCACTATGCTAGATCCTGTGGGAGGGAAAAATGATGTGTAAGACCTCATCCATGTTATGAAGAAGCTCACAGATTTGTAGATACGTGCCTATACCCACACACGTGCTGTTACACACCCACGCATACAAATACCAGGTAACCAACTGCCGAGGGCCCTTGGGCAAGTATGTCTCTCAATCCTCTCAATCACAGATAGCTGACAGTTCCATTCATCAGACCCAAACAGCAGGATCCAGAGGAAAATGGCATTTCCTTTTAAGAATAAGGAAACCGGAAGTCTCCCCCGCCTATTTCCTGTCATATTCTCTTGGCCATAATTTCAGCACATGTCCAGATGTAAATCCATCCTGGCAAGAGGAAGGGAATTACCATGACTGGGTTACACTATTCAGGGTTTATTCCTGTGGGTTCCTTAAGGACAGATACCTGAACAAAAATCAGGGACCTGTTGGCAAGGACCTGGGGTGGTGGAATGGATGTTGAATAGGCAATCACTGTCCTTCTGAAAATTTCCCATCCTCTGAATCAGAATGGGCTCCTCCAGTCACCATGCTGAATCCATTCCTTTGTCACAGCACTCAAAGCGTAGAGTGTGATGTGTTTGCTCAATGGCTTGATTTCCTGTTGACTGGGTACCAACAACACCCCTTTCTCTGCTAATTGTGAGCTACTGAGGGGGTCGGACCTGCTTTATTCATATTTGAAAGCTCCACACCCAGCCCAGTTCCTGCCATACCCAGAGCTCAGTAAAGATTTGTGGGACCAGGGGCGCCTGGGTGGCTCAGTCGGTTAAGCGTCCGACTTCAGCTCAGGTCACGATCTCGCGGTTCGTGAGTTCGAGCCCCGCGTCGGGCTCTGGGCTGATGGCTCAGAGCCTGGAGCCTGCTTCCGATTCTGTGTCTCCCTCTCTCTCTGCCCCTCCCCCGTTCATGCTCTGTCTCTCTCTGTCCCAAAAATAAATAAATGTTAAAAAAAAAAAAATTAAAAAAAAAATAAATAAAAAAGATTTGTGGGACCGGATATACATTTGTTGAAGCACTACTTAGTTCACATCTTCTTTCCCGTTTTATTCTTTCAGAGACTACACCTGTTGTTCTGGACTGCAGCTGGAATTGGAAAGGAAATCTATTTCCATGAATGGAGAAGTGTCAGAGTGAGCAGGCACGTGGCAGCGGAAGCATGGGAATAGTCTCACGAGACTAATGTCAAAGCACAATGATTGTCAGAGACTTTAGAAGATAAACCAACCAAACAAACATATAGAAGTTACATGTGCTGTTAGTGCAGAAGCTTCCAGATGGATGCAAGAATCAAAGCCTTCAAGAACCTCATGTAATTGGCACTTGGAATATATCTATATTAATTTGCATGGACCATAAAAGCAATCTTATCTAGAATCTTCCATTTACAGCCCTTGTTATTTTCTCCCTTCATTTTCACCTCTTCTCTTCTGCCTGGCTTCCTAACTCCTGGGTATCTGTCTCTGGTACATCTGTAGCTTCTCAGCTAGGATGTTTATGGGGTGTCAGATGCCTACATATCAAGAACTCTTCCTGTCTCTGGGAATTAGATGTTAAGAGACAGAAAACAGGGCACAAGACCACGTACACCTTAGCTCTGAGTTAGATCATCTGAAAGCTATGTTCCTGGACCTCGTTATCTTGGCTTCCCACAGAAAAGCATCCAACAAATTAAGATTTAATATCATGTCTCCAACTTTTATGGAGGGCAGCGGACACAGAAATGTACTTGTGAAGAACAAAGCTGGGTATTTTACAAAAGCATAGTGGCGGATTTTATCATGTCACCCAAAGTCCTTTTTATGAGAATCTGTAAGACTTTTGATTCTCTAAGTGAACATTATATTGACAGCGACAAGTATATCCCATATAATTACAGGGGACTCAGGACTGAATTTGGCTTCCAATGGCAGCATCTGTCATATCCTGGTGACTGGTGGCATCCATTTATTTGTTCCTTTCAACCGATTTTGATTCCGTTTTTATTATTTATTTTTCTGATGTATATTGTGGTTAATTTTCTAAGTTGCCTCCGATGTTTACAGATATGTGTGCACGTGTTTTTGCCTACTTATCTACCATCTCCCTACCTACCTACATACCTATCTGTTTACTTACATACCTACCTGTCATCCCAGCTGTGTGTGTGGTACGTATCTCCATCAGCCTGGACTTCATTAAAGTAACTGAGTTGTTTTTCTTTTCTTTCTCTGGCCTGATTATTCAGGTTATTTCCTACAAATAATTTGGAGGACACTGAGACAGATGTGCAACACAGCAGTGTGGGGTGGGAGATCTGGGTCCTGTTCCAGCTTTGCCTCCTGTTAAATGTCTCACCCTGGGTAAGTCATTTATTCTCTAGGTGTTTCAGTTTGGTCATCTTTAAGATGGGATAATTGTATCCACTTCTGTTGAACAGAGTCAGAGTTCAGTTGGCATCTTCAGGTATAAATGGAGTTACTTGAAGGTCTTCCAAGTGTTTCCCTCCACAAACACTAACCTTTCCACCTTTAGATTCTTTTTTCAGGATCCCATAGGAAATTTGTGTATTTCATGGGTTGTTGACCCAATGGAGTAAGATTTCTATTTCAATTTATCCCTGTTCCACTTATGCTAAAACTCAAGTTTAGATTGCTACTAGCTTAGATTCAGTTAGAATCTGTAAGTCAGAATGTCTTTTTGGAACATAATGTCATGGGTAGGAGTTTTCAGATGAGCACATCTTCTGTGATTGTACAGCATAGTCCACAGTTCACTGGCCCACATCAGCACAGATTTGGTTACCTTTTGATGCTTCAGGGCATGTGGCCTTTTAGGAGAGAAATGAAGCGCTCAAGTGAGAGGTGTAGCATAAATAAGTTGTAGTGGAGAGTAGGGTGGGAGGGTGGGGGAGGTTTCTGGAGCACTTAGTATTCAGTATCAGGCCTGAAATGAGCTTTCTCCATAAAGAGTGTGGGAAACTGGTGAGAATTGGGCTTTTAGCATAAGAATAGGCTGAAACTGACCTGTGGAACTTGGGCCTCAAAGCTTTTTGCAAAATATTATTTTTTGCATGGCTTGGTGGAGACTCAAGAGTGACTTAGGGATTTCATGTGGATTCCCAAGCAGGAAGCCAGACCTTTCATTGCTTCCACAAAATTCCACCAACCTTCCATCAGGATCTTTGGCTTTGTGGGACAGATAGGTATGTATTACCACTACCATTTTATAGGTCAGGAGAATGAGGAGCCAGAAAGGTTATGTGACTTGTTGAAAGTCACACAACTAGTGCCTGGCAGGGCTGGACCTGGGAGCCAGTGTTGGGAGAGAAAGTCCTCCATGGGCCACAAGTGCACCTGTCTAGTGGGCCAAGACTAGTTTTTCTCCCAGGATGTCTTCAGAGTTGTTCTGATGCCCTCGAGAAATGAGATAATGTCTCCCTACTCTCAGCACCTAAAAAGCAGACTTGTTTACTGTTGCCTGTGAAAACAGTAGATTCCCCAAGTATTCCTGGGCCATGACACAAGCCCACTTTACCTGTCATACTGATCTGGGCCCAGGGTCATGCCTGTGGACCTTTAGAGCAAGGAAGCTGGTGCCAACATGTTGATACTTGTTCCGCTGCAGTGTCATGAGTAATATAGTCCTTTGTTTCTGACCCAGGAGCTCATGTCTCCTGCCAGCATCCACAAATTAGAATTAGGTTAACTTGTTTGTGTGTAAGTGAGTAAAGTCACATCTTAGACCTGACATCTAGCTTCCTGAGTCCTGGGCAGATTTCCTTCCATAAGTGTGCTTTCTGTAGATAACTCAACCCAGGGGGAGGGACGGTGGTCACAAAACTCATCTGGTGATATGACTGGATCTGTGCCAAGTTCCTTCCTTTTGATTTTCTGGGCCTGGGCTTCTGTTAGCAGGCTTTCAGTAGGTCTCTGTGGTAGGTAGTTGACTGGTTCATTGGTAGAGATCCCTAGAAGCCAGCGGAGGCCAGCCAATGGAAGTGATAGGGAAAGAGCAAGGAGGAAGAGGGAGAGTGGAAAGGGAGAAGGAGGATCACTTGTCAAAGACATTTAGGGTCCCATTACCATTTTCTGTACCTGTCATACTGTGCCAAAAAATATAAATAAATAAATAAATAAATAAATAAATAAATAAATAAAGGTGGGAAGTTTGCTCTGCTGAAGCAGCAGCATCCTTGAGGATCTGGGGAATGGGAAGGGAGGCCAGGACTAGTGGCATGTTGGGGGCATGGTGTGAGGGAGGAGGGCTGCCTCTCCAAGACCTCACCTGGGGAGAGATCCCACTGTTTGGACTGGGGTAGAAGAGGGAAAGCAAGGCCATGGCAGTGTCATGATCTCACCCATAAAATATTGAGGTTAATTTTCACTTTGCTGACTAATTCTTTGCAAGAATCCTAAAGAAATCTTAGTGAGGAGAACTCTAACCAGGAGTGAGTTGTTCCAGGCCCTTTAAGCTTGACGAGCCTCCTCACGCACATGTCCACAGAAAGTGAGGCCAACTCTGCCCAAGACTTATCAACCACCAAAGAAGCCTGAAATGATAGGTGGTTTTCAAAATAACTTTCCCTTTATCAGCTGAAGTAGATAGGCCTCTGTCATAAAACCTTTAATTGTTCATCAAATATTTGACTAAAATTGAGTAGTTTTCTTTCAGGGGAAGTTAGCATTCTTAAATCACTAGCAAGGGAGAGGTTTGTAAAAGATTTACCAAAGCGCTCTTCGTGTGTATGCATAATGGTTAATGGTCAATAAATAGACACTTTTCTTTATTGCCTAGACATTCTGTCTAATGTTTAATTTTTAAAAAGTGTACCACTTATATGAGGCATCTAATGTAATCAAACTCATAGAAATAGAAAGTAGAATGGTTGTTACCAGGGGTGTCGAGGGGAGGGAAATGGTAGGTCTTTAAATGGGTGCAGGGTTTCAATTTTGCAAGATGGAAAATTTCTGGAGCTCTGTTGTCCAACCATGTGAATATACTTACCGCTAGTTTATGTTATGCGTTTTGTGTTTTTTATCATAATCAAAACAATGGTAGAAGCCATCGGTGTAGAGTGAGAACACAGCATTGATTTTATAGTTTTAACGTCCTTGGTTGATTTAAATTCAAGTGTTCGTGCTGTGGGAAGAAGCAAAGTTTAGAAAAGGAAAGACTTCTTTTTCACTGCAGTTTAGAGAACTCCTCAGTCTATTGACAAGTAGCGATTCGTTGAATGTCAGCTCAATCTACGGAGGCATATATATATAGCACACGCAAGTACGGAGTTTGAATACACTTCACGTTTCACTAAAAGTCATTGCGTGTTTTCTTGTGTGAAAGGGAATCATACCAATGCTTATTCAGTTTTCAGCCATTATAAAAGATCACTAGTGAAGGAAAACACTTCCGGATTTACATTCAAAGGAATGAAAGCAGGGTCCTGAAGATATAGTTGTTATTTCCATGTTCATAGCCGCATTGTTCACAACAGCAAAAGGTGTAAGCAACTCAAATGTCCACTGACAGATGAATAGATAAGCAAAATGTGGTCTGTACATCTGTGGACTATTATTCAGACTGAAAAAGGGAGGAAATTCTGATACATGTTAAAACATAGGTAAGCTTTGAAGACATTATGCTAAGTGAAATAAGCCAGTCACACACAGACAAACACTGCAGGACTCCATGTACATGAGATGCCTTTAGTGGTCAAATTCAGAGAGACAGGAGTAGAATGGTGCTTGCCAGGTACTTATGGAGGCAATGAGTGGGGGGAATGGGGAGTCATTGTTTAATGGGTATATAATTTGTTTTGTAAGCTGTAAAGAGTTCTAGAGATGGACGGTGGTGATGGTTACCCAACAATGTGAATGGACTTATTGCCACTGAACTGCACACTCACAAATGGTTAAGTTGTAAATTTTATGTCCTGTGTATTTTACCAGAATTAAAAAAAAATAATGATAAATGATGCTAAAAAAAAATCACAGATTAAGGGAGAACTTCATCAACGTTACCATTTATTTCTGGAAGCCACTGGCCCAAGCTCATAGGACGCTCTTCCTAGCACTTCACAGGCCAAACCAATAGGGTCTAACATGATCGAAATACGTAAGTCTTTCTGACACCATGGTCTTCTTCTCTGAGGAGCTGGAAGGTGGTTGAGAGAAACAGGACCTGCCTCCTGCCCCATTTGGTATTCTTTCCGCATTCTGGAGGATTCACAGTTTTCCAGTGTGCACATGTGTCAGGAAGATTCTCTATTATCAAAGATACTTTCATCATTAAAGAAAGCCCTTGATTCAGCCATAGATAATCATGTCTGAATGAGATGATTTCTTCAAATGTTTCATTTGTAAAAATCGGTGTTTCTTAAGTGAGATTATCACCATATTGACCCAAGATGTCCGTTTGGTATTGTCCTTTGAGCCTCGCTAGGGTAAACATACCAATGGACATTGGCCCACTCCCATCCAAGTGAGCGTGATTCCCACCACCAGTCTCTGTTGACAGATGATTGTGTGATGGGTAAGCTGTTCGATGAGAACACTTCCTTTCTCTTGCAACCACAGAATCCTGTGTTGCTTTGTATGCAAAATTCCTGCCCAGAAAAGAGAAGTTTGGGTGGTTAAGTCTACTGGCAAAGCCATGATGGTTGGAGACATGATTTAGTCCATATTAAAAAAAAAAAACCAAAACCCTGTGTTTCCCTGACCAGCATTTACCCATCAGTATTTAGTTGAGTTAAAGGAAGGAAATGATGAATTGAATCTAAGTATAAAAGAAATGAATATTAATCTACAGCAGGGGCAGAGCATGGCATCATAGAAACAAGGCACTTTGTCAAGGCACTGCAGCCTTGAGTCCCCTCCTTGGTGTTCATATCTCAACTGATTTGTTAATTCTAAACGAATAGTTAACCTAATGTGGAAAAATCTGTGAATGTTAGGAGCTCTGTCTGTCTCTACATTGAGTTGTTTTGATCCCCTCAATTTTTGGCTTTTATTCTACGGTGATGCCCTATGCCCTATTTACCCTGTGGTGATGCAAGCCTTTCCTTCCTCTTGCTGCAAGGACACATTAGCACAATCCAAAGAGGAAGGTTCTATAATGATTATCATCATCCCCATCTTACAGCTGAGGAAATAGACAC